CCACTGCAAATTAATGCATATACGTCACTTTTCGTGATGATGGTTCAACTTTGCTTTTTGAACCGGAAGAACGAAATTGCTCCGAAAAATGAAAAAATAACCACTTTTACCTTAATAATAGACATAATGAGTGAAAAAGTTGTTTTCCCTGATGTGCAACCTGTTCATATATGTTAACATCTCAAAAAATGTGTTTTAGGGTTTCATGACACTTTAAATCCACCCAAGGGTGAACTGCCTTTATCATTGGCAGTGCCGGCCCGTAGGGTTGTGGGGCCCTAGGCAAGATAACGAAATTTGCTGTGCCTGTTTGTAGATCTGCACAATTTGGCCAAAAACATTTTTGTTTTTATATATCAATATGACTACTAATAATTCTGATTATAGTTAGAACTAAATGAATCATTAAACAAAGTACCCTAGGCAAGATAACGAAAATAGGCCCCACTAGTGTAAAAATTGTCATAGCTATTTAAACATATGACAAGTCTGTTTGTGATCGTGGGCATCATTGCATTTATAAAACAAATACTAATTCTAAAGCAATAAATATTATGTATAGCAGTCAGAACCAGAGCATGTGAGCGAAGCGGAGCGGTGTGACGCTCCGCTACGTTTTCCGCTCTATGGACATGCGCTCCACTCAGTCGCTCTAACCGCCCAAGCAAGCACTCCGTTAATATTCCGCTCACGCTCAAACTAAAGCAATAAATATTATGTATAGCAGTCAGAACATACTTTTTTTCGGCTCCATAAAGATAGCGTTTGGATTCCGTTTCTACTACAATTTCACTTTAATCTCTCTATCATTCTTTCATTTCAATTCCAAAATCTGAATCAACAAAATCTGCACACAAAATCTGAACTGTAACTAGAAAAGTTTTCAGATAAACTTTTTCTTTATTTGCGAGAAATTATAAAGAACACTAAGTTTGCTGTGCCTGTTTGTAGATCTGCACAATTTGGCCAAAAACATTTTTGTTTTTATATATCAATATGACTACTAATAATTCTGATTATAGTTAGAACTAAATGAATCATTAAACAAAGTAATTATTAATATAGTTTACAGAAAACTGCAGCATGACCTGTTAACATGCAGGAGGTTTATAATTGTTTAGAAAGGTCTAAGGATTTAATATAAATGATTATGATTAAAAATCATTAACAGTAATTTCTTAATTTTTGTCAGGAAATGTTATGCATCCACTGAGAGAGACAGAGGGAAAACTCCTCTGCACTGGTATTATTTTTCCTATTTTTACCCAAAATAAGGTGTCGTGAGTAGCTGTAGCTGCTTCATTCATACTGGTAGCCGGAAGGCTAATATCTTCTGTACTCTGTAGTTCTGTATTTAGGCCTATATACAGCTGTATGCTAGTTTAGGTCTACAGTTTAACTGAGATTATTTAATAACTACGGAGT